ATAAAATGTACCTAAGGAAGAGCTTTGCAATTTCAAGGAACCTAGAAATGTTTTCTTAGCATCAAATTTTGACAAGGAATTAGATGGAAAAACCTTATTACCATAAATTACTATGTCATTCTGTGTCCAGAACAAATACAGAAAATTTGACCTTAGTATTAGAGGACAAGCATACATTAAGACTCTTCACCCCTGCTGTATTATTCATTCAGCAAGCACCATAATGGCTTAATTAGCCATAAACTTTGCAGCATTTATCTAATGCTTAAAGCATTTCACATGCACAACTGAAGCTAAGGATTAGAAACAGGCCCTTCAGGCAGAGAACAGGTGGCAATCTTAAACTCATTTTATTGCTAGACTGAATTTAACAATGATTCTGAAACTTGTATGTTAAACTCCAATTTCACATCACTGTATAATTAATTTAGAAACTTCAATATACATTCCATTATCAAATCAAAATTAGGACACAACTTTGATCATCATGAAACTTATAGTCATGGATTATATTTAAAAAAGTTATTGTACAAACAAGTATTTCTGTGAATTGCAGAATCTTCAGGAATTTTACTGATATGAACATTAGCACCATTTATAATCACTGAGTAACCTTAGACACTTGTACAAAGGGCACACTCTCCCACTGTTAATGGCAAACATGTCTGTAACACATGGAACTCATGGGAAAAGAAAGTCAGAAGTTATATAATTGTAGCACAACTAAAAGTGTATAGTTGTATAGATGCTCAGTTATAGGTAGAAGAAGAACAGGTAAATTATAGATATTTTTACTTTACATTTATAATACAAATGCTCTTAAAATCTGTTCCCTCAAATTTACTTCTAAATTTGATAAAATAAATACCTTCCTATCAAGTTATATACTATATATCTATTTTTTCCCAAATTATTTTTTTTTTAAAAAGTACTGTGCTGTGATAGTATACAAATATATTGTTACATGTATACAAAGCCATTGAGTGGCGCAGTGGCCTAAAGGTGAAGAAGCTCGCCTCCCATTCAGCAGGGTGAGAGTTCAATTCTAGGCAGCGACAAATGTTTCTCTAGAGAAAATATCTGCTGCAAACTCCGCATAACATAAGTAAATGCTTAGCTCCATTCAGTTGCCCCAACTCCACCCTGATAAAAGGTATTACAGGGTTGTAAAAAGAAAAAAAAATCTATACAGAGCCATGTAGAAGACTGAGTAGGTATCCCCAACAGGGGCTGCAACATCTTCCGTTAGCTGGCATGCATTTGTAAATAATTCCATTGGCAAAATACAGGACTATTTTAACAACATTTGATATTAAAGAGTAATCTCCTCTTGTAAAGTTTAGCTTTCTGAAATATTCTAAATATTCTAAATCTGAGCTTTCTGGTGAGAACTTACATAGTTTTTTGCCTACACCCACACCAGGAGTACCACCTAAGAAGCAGACAAACAGAAAATACTAAAAGTGTATAGTTGTATAGATGCTCAGTTATAGGTAGAAGAAGAACAGGTAAATTATAGATATTTTTACTTTACATTTATAATACAAATGCTCTTAAAATCTGTTCCCTCAAATTTACTTCTAAACTATTTTAATCTTTTGAGATTAAATGCATGCTTATACAGTAATCCATAAGAAATCCAAAATCTCTAAAAGGCAGTGTGCACATATGTATTTTACAACAAACATACACATACTTGGGTGGTAGGCCTCTTCTTGCTTATAGGCATTTGCTTAATTTAAAACAGTTACTAACTAGCAAAAGAGCCCACACAAAGTGCATTAATTCAATTATGTGTTCTAGTTTTTTAACCATTTATGTACAATTTAGAATTGTCCGCTTCATTTTCCATATCAAATCTGACTGGGTGTTCAATATACTAATTTTCAAGTCAACATTCCAAACAGCGCCATACATTTATTGTTCACTGCAAATCATCTGGGATCTCAGCAAATAGTACAGCATCAACTGCATATAAAAATACACACATATTCATATTCCCAGCCACACATCTCTAACATAGGCATATCAAAAAAGACATCACACATCCTTCTTGTCATATATATTTTTATTAGATGACACAGACCACAGACAAACAATTTTATTCCTTTTATGGGAAATTTTATTTTAGAAAAAATGATTTCTTTTACTAATGTTGTATGGCTTTTCTAATCCTCATTAGAGCTAGGTTCTATATCTATTTCCATTACCGTATTTTCCGGCGTATAAGACGACTGGGCGTATAAGACGACCCCCAACTTTTGAGAAGATTTTCAGGGTTTAGAAAGTCGTCTTATACGCTAGAAAATACGGGTACCATTTCCTAGTAAAACTGTCAGTCTGTTTTCTCAATATCACTCAATATTAAAACCACTTAAACTTATATTTGTGGATCAAGCAGAATTAAATAAGTATGTGTATGCAAACACACCCATATTGTTACCTTGTGGTTTACAAAAACATCCACAACCTTTATAAAATATTGATAAACATTGTCTACANCTTTCTTGTATTTAAGTTAAGCCCTACTATGCAGCAAATTTCCAAGAAATAATCGAAAATAAGTTCTGGAAAAAAAAGGGAAACAAAACAAGGGGAGACTAACTGAAAACTTGGAAAAGACAAACCAAGCAAAGGGTTGCAGAGAAAGGCCAGTGGCTATTTGTGTTGAATTTAGAGCTGACTGTTGGAATAGGTAAGGCGCCCAAAGTTTAGTCACTTTTTATTTGTTGGTGCAAAAGCTGGTCTCTGACAAGGAAGCGGCAAGCACTATCAGTTAGTGAGAAAAAAGTGAAAGGCTAACGCCTGGGAAGGATCTCCCGTCTCCAAAGGGAGGACGCTTTTGCTTTTGCTCTACCGCAGAGAAACCGGGCCTTCAAAGGGGGCAACTGGGCTGAGCCGACTCAAGGCTGCTTTGAGAAAGACGGTTCAGGAGCAGGCTGGCGGTTTGCCTTAGCAAGCATTTTCTTCAGCTGAGTCTCGGACATGGCCATGCTGGCGGCGGTCCCTCCCTTGGTCGTGCTACCTCTACGACCTCCTCCCGTTACTCTAACTCCCGGACGGACAAGAGCCTTCACGAGCTCCGCTTCCGACAGCCTCCGCGATCCGTTTCCGCTCGGCGATACCGCGAAACGTCACTTCCAGCATCTTTCTCTCTCTCTCTCTCTCTCTCTCTCTCCCCGCCTCCCCCCCCAACCGACCAGTGAAAATAGTAATAGAGTTTTGAGTTTAGCCCCTCTGCAAAGCCAAAATCATAGAGAGGATGGCCGGGCGGTCCGATTTTACAGCCTGTTCTGGGTTGTAGGTAACTGGATCGAAATGGGGTATGTTAATCACTAAGGGTGACTAAAAGCAGAAAGAGTCAGATTCTAGTCCTCCCTCAATTAAAACAACAACAACTATTCGGTGAACTTCCTAACAGTGAGAACAATTAACCAGTGGAAAAGCTTGCCTTCAGAAGTTGTGGGTGCTTCATCACTGGAGATTTTTAAAAAGAGACTGGACAGCCATTTCTCTGAAATGGTATACCATATTTTCCGGCGTATAAGACGACTGGGCATATAAGACGACCCCCGACTTTTGAGAAGATTTTCAGGGTTTAGAAAGTCGTCTTATACGCCGGAAAATACGGTATTTTATTTCTTATTCCTACATTTATACGTTATTTCTACACAGTTGCTCTCTTAATCCCAGCCATAAATTTTTGTAGCTGATATTTCTGTTCTTATTACCTCTTATTAGCTATATTTTATATTCTTTATTTGCAAGTTATCTTGATAATGTATCTTCTACTTGTTTAGCACAGAAGACATGTTAAAAAAAACACAGAACTATTTCATAAGCAAACAACATCCATATTTTAACATTTCTCCAGTGACATCTTCAATACCCATAGCCTTACTATTTTTTAACATTTTCACAGTAATAAATGCTTTTCCTTTTCTTGGACCCTAATATTTGTAGCAATTGTTTAATTTCACTCCTTAACACAAAACTATCTTTTCCATACAAATATTAAAATAATCCTTCTGCATTATCTTCTGTCAGCCTCATTCCATATCATTTCATCACTTTTATTCTTAATTTTATTCAATCCACAGAATACTTAAATTTTAAGTCTTTTTAAAAATGTTCAGCTAATGTGCTTCCAATTAAAATTGGCAGGTATGTGGAAAAATTATACATGAGTAAGATTATGAACAAATTATTTACAAAACATGCATTTAAGATGTCTTCAATTTGGTAACATTTAATAATAACCCCTATGTTGTTGTTGTTTTTTAAAAAAGCTTAAGGCAATGAATGTACTCCTGTCAACTATAGTTTTATAGATAGCCCACAACTTATGTTGATCCTTAACGACTCTTCAAAGCTATGACAGGATCAAAAAAATTTACTTATTACATGTCTTAAATTACATCAGCACCACAGTCATGTGATTTCATCTTGGGCACTTGGCAACCAACTGGTTGCAATGATCTACGGTGAATATGATCACATTTTGCACCTTTTTTGCCATTTTCCAACAAAAAACACCCACTGGATAAACTGAATTCTGACTTACAACCACAGACCATTGTAAAAGCAGTGGTAAAATCAAGCTGGAGTTATGATTGCAATGATCTATTCTAAGCTCAATTGTGGTTGTAAATCGAGGACTACGTAACCACTTCCTAATAACTTAAATTTCATTTCAGACTAAATTTTATATCATAACTATTACAAGAGTAGAAGGTGTAAAAAGCCAAGCATACTAATTCTGTTTCTAAAGGAAAATTATCATCTGCAGCTTGTTAAGATCCTAGAAATATTTAGCTATTACAAAATAAGAGCAGTGTAAAACTCTAATAATAAATTAATAAATGATTCCTGCCAATCCAAGCTGGAGAAAACCTACTTGCTAGGTCCAAGGAACAAATGCTTTCTTGCAGGAGGCCAACTGCCCTTGGAGAATCCTGATATTTACCAATTCTTATAATTATTCTTTATTATGTACTTACAGCTCTTGTCTAAGCCTTCTAATCTTTGCTTTGGCATCTGCTAATTCCACTGATAAGTGTTGTCTGCTTTCAGTGCATTTCATTCCTGGAGATACACAAGGTGATTGTGCTGCTGATGCATGAGGTAGAAAATGAAGAGAGTCTCGTTCTTCAGAAAGCTCTATGATAGTCTATGACATAAAAAAATATTTTCAGATAAGTATATGAAAGTAGAACCATTCCGATTTTGCAAATTGTTACTTAGCTATTTTACTTCTTCATTTCATTGTTAATCAACAAAATCCTAAATAATAAAATTAAAAAATGCTGTTAATACCTCAGAATGCTCATCTCGCTCATCTATAAGTCGTTTTAAATGCAATGCCATGTTTTTTAGGAGAGGTTCAATATAATCTTGTGTTAGAGCATTGTCATCCATCCACTGGAGATCGAACACATTTTCCTGATTATGGGTTACCTACAAAGAATAAATAACAATGATGTAAAACTACTGTATTTAAATAATTAGATTGCTAAATTTGTACTAATTAAGTGTAACTAAATGTGAAAAAATTGGAGTTCAAGCTTGTTTTAAGGAACAAATTATGTACATTTTAATCTATTTTTAGAAATATTCTGCAATACACTATATTCTTAGAAAAAAATCAACTTTGCCGGTTATCATTTCTCTTATCTTTCTAAAACTGTATTTTTTCCTTGCCTTTTCTCTAATTAGAAATTAATTCTCATCTACTAGTGATTTTTCTAATTTCTCTGCCAACTCACATTGCCAGGGAAAAACAGCCTATACATTTGAAGTCATATCTTAATTGTGTAGACATTACAATGCAAACAGTAACCACTGGGTAATTAATTCTTTTTAATAGTTAATTTTTCAATTATTATAAACTGCCTTATGTCTTTGGAATATGCTGAATATTTAATATACTATCTAAAATATATACATATTTATTTTCTTAAAAGAGCTCATTCCTGGTATGTTATCTTCCTTCTGTGCCTAAACAGAAAGGACATATCCCAATAAGGGATAAAAATATTGTTGTTTAATCTAATGAACACATACCCTACCATCAACCAGAGAAGAAATAAAGTGTTGTCTCTGCACTTCATTTTCTGATCTTCCATGTAGCCATAACTAGCACATACGTCATTAATCTATTTATTTATTTATTTTTATCCTGGCTTTATTGTTTTTTATAAATAGCTTAAAGTGGTGAACATACCTTAATCCTTCCTCTTCCTATTTTTCCCACCACAGCAACCCTGTGAAGTTGGTTGGCTGAGAGAGAGAGGCTCAAAGTCACCAGGCCAGTTTTCATGCTTCAGATAGGACTAGAACTCAGCCTGCTGGTTTCTAGCCTGGTGTCTTACCTATTAGATCAAATTGGCTCTTTTTTTTCTGGAGATTGTAAGGGATATCACATTGCCTAATCCTTTCAATCTTTCTTCTTTTAATGTGTTTTCTAAATGATATAATAGAATTATATAGGCCAGTGATGGCGAACCTTTTAGAGACCAAGAGCCCAAAAACTGCCTCGCCCCTGCTCCGTCCCTGTATCTCCTCCCTGCAGGGCCACCCACCACCTCCATGGCCCACCACAGCAGATTGCCCAGGTGGCCCAAGGGCGTCATGGTGGCCACGCGCTCTGTCCGCACCCCGCAGCATCATCTGTACACAATGGGGCGCAAGGGGGGAGTCTTGTCCCCGCTGCCTGGCTGCCATATCCTTGGCTGCACTGCTCTGCACAGGCTGCACTTGGGGCAACTCTCCGGGGGGGGCTGCTGGTGAGGAGGGGGCCACGGGGGGGCTGGGGCGACTGCATGCGTGCCCACAGAGAGGGCTCCAAGTGCCGCCTCTGGCACCCGTGCCATAGGTTCGCCACCACTGATATAGGCTTATCTTGTTAAGAACAGTTTTGATCCTAACTAACTAAATTTCAAACAGGGCCGTATTCCTGGCCATAAAAAGTAATTCCTAAATTGATTCGTTGCCTTATACAGTAGCTATCCTTTTGAATTCAATGGAATTTAATTTTAATTATACAATTGCTTTTTCTTATGAAATCACTAGTGAGTTACCATAGAAACTGAATTTTCATTAGTTTTGAATGAGATTTTATAATGGCCAAAGCAGATATGCTTTGTTTACATTTATCCCTTTTAAGAAAGTTTCATGTAATATCCTTGTTCACAGAATTTTTAAATAAATAACATATTGTTAATTCAACTCTCTCAATCTTTTCCCCAGGTGAAAACCTATCTAACTTCTTTCATCTTTCCTCAGTTAAATTGACCCCTGTTAATTTTGTCACTTAAGCATCTAACCATAATTCTTTCTAGTTCCAGTTTAACAACACACAAACAAGATTATTCCTGGTGATACCTTCTTATCAAATAACACTGAAGCAGTTTTACTCAATACCTCATTATAATTAATTCCAACTTCTCAGACTTGATCTAACATATTTAATATTTCAAGATACACACAAACCAAGAAAAACTGGTGGGTTTCATACTAAGAACTCGAGTAATGTACAATTTCCTACATTTAATTCCCTAGAAAGAATCAACTTGTCTTTCTGAGAATATGACATCCAGATACAGTTTTATTGATAAGTAATCTGTGATTTCCATAAATCAACTGACCTCCAAATCAACAGAAGAATTCCACAAAAATATAAGTAAACAATCAGATCCAGGAGATGGATTGTTCTAATAATGCATCAGCATATGAGACAGGAGCTCCAGAAGGCGGCTATAACTATACTTTATTGAGATAGGCCAAAGTAACAGAATCTTGTAAGTCTGCCTATGATTTCCCCTCTCTTCCATTTATACCTGTGAAAGTCAGAGGCAAGCCAGTTTGATCTCTTTCTAAAACTTTTCCAAGTCCCTGAGCTTAATGCATATTTCTACAGTTTCTACATATTTCTACAACTTTTCAGTGGTTTCTCCATGGCTTCATATCCTTGGCTCCTGGCATAAGCTCATAAATCCTATGAGAAAAAATGGCTGATCTTCTTTTATATTTAATAAGAAAGTGCCTATATATATATTTTCAAATACAATAAACATTCTGCAGAATGTTTATTATCAAGACATTTGACTGCCTTTAAAATATTTTTTAATAAATTGGGATTTTGTAATAATAAACAAGATATTACCTCTTGTATGTGGGCGGCAACAGCTGCTCTTACATCAAAATCTAAACTCTGTATTCTTTCAATGAATTCTTCTTTCTTCTGGCACTAAACATAAATTTTAATTAGTATTTACTCTTAAGTAGCTAAACAAAATAAAATAACACCCTTCAGCTTTTTCTTACTATTTGTAGTAAACCTGAAATACCTAATAAAAGTACATACTTACAGGAAAATTTGTGATTTGTTTATCCCTGATCATACATTGTACTTTTTTAACTCCTTTAAGCCTGGCATTCAGTTTGTTCCCTTAAAGCAGGGATGTCCAACCCATTACCCCACAAGATAATAAAAAATAAAGGAAGCATATTATTTATTTACATCAACTATATATTTTATACACAGCTCAAGACAATTCCTCTTCACTCAGTGTGGCCCAAACAATTCAAAAGTTTGGAGAACCAGGCCTTAATACAAGAACAACTAAAAAATGCTTCCAATTATTGCCTTCCTACTCCCAATAAGCACCAGCCATCATGGTTGTCTGCTAGATTAAAACAGTGATCAATAATCAATAATCCTAGCAGAAAAAAATTGTTAGCGATGTTTAATTATATATAAGACTAGGAAGATAACATTATAAGTGCCATTCAAATAAACATTATAAGTAGTTCAAAAAATTAGTAGATCTTACCTGAACAGCACAGCCAAGCAGAAGTAGAAGGAGTTTTTTTACTTCTTCAGTGCCTTGTTCTGAAAATATTTTTAAAAATATTTTAAAACAATATATTGGTTTACATTTTCAGTAATATTGAACAATTCTGTTTACCTTTCCATTACTATACGTTTTGGGGTAAGCACTGGTGAACAACACAGAGCTGTTTTCTCAGAGCTATATAACTAAGGGCTACATATAGCTTTTAACTATATAATTCTTTATTTAGTCTTAAGAAATTTCTTTAACTCTATATCCATAGTCAATGAGCAGAATACAGGTGCTCCTCAACTTACAATCACAATAGAGCCCAAATTTCTGTTGTTAAGCAAGACAATTGTTAAGTGAATTTTACCCCATTTTATGACCATTCTTGCCACAATTAAGTGAATCACTTGCAGTTGTTAAGTTAATAATATGGTTGTTAAGTGAATCTGGCTTCCCCATTGACATTACTTGTCAGAAAGTCACAAAAGGTGATCACATGATCTGGGATATTGCAACTGTCATAAATATGAGTCATTTGCCAAGCCTCTGAATTTGGATCATATGACCATGGGGATACTCCAATGGTCGTAAGTATGAAAAACAGTCATAAGTTACTCTTTTCGGGGTCGTTGTAACTTCAAACGGTCACTAAATGAACTGTTATAAATTGAGGACTATATAAAAATAAATATTCCAGTTTTCTAGATTTACTATACTATATTAATTTACTACTTATAGTAAATAATCGAAGAATTATTTCTAGAGTTGTTCTGCATGGTATTTTGTAATCCACTAATAGTTAATTCTTACCCACATTCAGTTCCACATTAAATACAAGAGAAATGTTTTGTGAGGGACTTTTTGGGGGAACCTTTTTCACCCAGCCTCGTTGAGAGCAAAAGCACTGTCTGATGGATTAATTTCGCTCCACGTGGGGCGGAGTCTCTCTGCTAAGCAGTGCTTTTCCTCTCAAGGAGGCTATTGGTGTAAAAGTCCCTCCAAAAATTGAACCAGAATTTCCTGCTTGGATTTCATGATGGCCCTTTTTCAGCCAGTTCCCAAGAACCAGCATGAGGTAGCAGCTTGTGACATTCCCTGCCAGCTTCTCCGTTCTAGGGAAGCCATCAGGGAAGAGTGCACATGGCAATCACATGATTGCGGGACACTTAGCAACCTGTCTTAAGCTTGAACAGGTTGTCATGTACCTAGATCGCAATTCCTTGACCATAGGAGCGCTGCAACAGCCCTAAGTTTGGGTATGGGTCGTAAATCCTTTTGTTCAGCACCATCATACTTTTAAATAGTTGCTGAACAAATGGTCATTAAGCGCAGACTACTGATACAAACATATAATGCATGTAAAATCATATAAACATTTGACAGTATTATATAATATTATTAATAAATATTTGTGATTGCCAGATTCAGGCGAGGCACAGAAATAAATCTTGACTGTATTTAATCCCATATTCAGAAACCTGCTTACATCATAAGATCACAGATATAACATTCCAAATTTATTACAAACAATAATAAAGCACAGCTTCTCCAAAGCACAGCCATAGAACCCTATATATAGGTATATGCTACAGGATTTATATTCAAAGCTTTTCCAGTTTTTCTGAATCAAAGCATAGTTGGCTATTATTTTAAAGGTGATAAAAATAAAAAAGATCTATTTACATAATATTCCTCCCTAACCTGAGAATATTATTTATTTCCTTGCCAACTTCAACAAAATAACAATTATTTATTATAGTATGCCTATTTTAAACCAGATGCAATGCTTACCTGAAAAGGGATTTTTTCCAATTATTAAAACATTTGGCAAAGGCATCATGATCAATTGCTGCAATGTCTCCTGTGGAAGCAAATTTAATTTTTGTAACTTTTATAGCTTTTATAAAACTTATATAGAGGCTGAACTTTCTGTAGGTTTCTGGCAACATCTGACCTTAACTGGCTATATTAAAATAAACAGTACAATTATTCCTTATTTATAAGTATATTGTTGTATGAACTCCAAGAAACCATAAGTTTACTTCATGGTATTTAAATGTATCAATATTAGAGGTTTCACTTTTTGTAAAAGATGAAATGCCTAGATTATTTTGCTTATCCATTTCTTTCTTACAGAATTTCTGCAAATATTTTTCTTATAAATTGATATTCTTTTATTTATTTCTTGTTTTGGACACTTTTATAATCATGTTAATTGTTTATGCTTCATAGAAAATTAATGTTAAACAAGAAAATCTAGAAAACTTATTAAGGAATGTTAAGGAAAGTTAATGTTAGGGAACATACATATTCAAAACAACCTATGTCAAAAGCTTAAATGAGCAATATTAGAAAAAAGTTCCTCTTTAAAGACTTAAGAAATATTTTTTTTTATTTGTACAGAGCAATGATACTGGGAACGAAGTGAAAACAATTTGTAATTGTCATTTTTTTCTACCACTAGACATACTTTTTATTAACAGGTACTCATGTATTAATATTTTTAACTTAATTAAAACAGATTGATATTAAATAATTCTTTAAGAGAATGATAAATACCCAGATTCCCACATCTAATTTTATTTAAATTCAAGTAAAATTAAATAAATTAATTGCAATGTATTAAGACCATATATAGCCTAAGACTTCAGGGTATATAGGTGATTTACGTTTCTCTCCTACCGGTATATGTAGATTCCTAAGATGCATTAAATTAGATGGTTATGTGGCAAGCATACTAATTTTCTTCAATATTGTGAAATTTCTTACCTTAAGAAAAAAAACTAATTAAACTTGTTGTGTATGTTAGGAACACTGGCTGTCCACAATAACTAGAACAAGGCATTTTATCAATTTCATTTTCCTAACAAAGAGAACTACATCTTACATTTTTAAACCATTTTACCATGACTGTAAAATAATTTCCTACATTGACTTAAATCTATTAGAATGTAAAAACCTGTGAAGCTGATATGCAAAGATAATGTTGTACTAAGATATTCAGGACTGAAACTGAATAAAAGTGGATTGCAATTTAGATAGAAGCATTTCTGAGAACTGCCAAATCTCCTTTAAAAAGGCAACAATCTATTCTGCAAATTGTTTCCTGAAGATTGCCCTAATAAATTATACCACTGCTAGACACTAATAGTTCTGATCAGGAAAAAAAAGTTTAGAGATTACCTAATTCTTTAAAGTTGGCATGCATTCTCTCAACATCTGGATAACTATGATAAAAATAGTCATGAATATACAAATCTGTGAGACAATACGGGTAGTTCTCAATTTATGACCAGTCACTTAGTAACCATACAAAGTTCTGATGGACCCCTCAAACAGCTACTTGCAACCTGATTTTGAAATTCCAACTTCAGTTCCTCCACAGTCATGTGACTGCATTTTGGGTACTTGGCAACCAGCCCACATTTACAGCCATTGCAATGCTTTGCAGTCATGTGACTGTAATTTACAATACTTTTGCCAGAAACCCATGTTTACTTCCGGTTTCCAACAAAACCCAGCCCATAGCAAACAATGGGTTCATTTAAAAGCTATGGTGGTGGCTTAACGACTGCCATGTTCATTTAATGTCCACCGCTATGTATTGTACTGGAGGGCTACAAGAGAATCGGTACTATTTTAGTACATGTATAGGTACTGTAAACACTATAACGTCTGTATTGCAACATATTCAAGCAAGCTCAGAGAGCACCAAGGATTCCTCACGTCAACCCTGAGCAACAAATATTCTCCTTTATTAATATTCTGTTGTTATATTTTAAGATTTGAATACACACTCAATTATGTGTGGCATAGCTACAGATGATATAATATAGGCACTGAAGGCATGGCTGTTCATGACGGTACTGGGCCAAGATACAAAGTCCAGGTTTGAAAGATGTTTCATAGAGATGAAAGTTAGTCATAATTAGTACGTATTTTGTTTGGTGTTTTTATATTTGTTTTTAAATTTCTTGTAAGCCTTTTTGAATCGCATGATCATATAAATTGAAAAAAAATGGATTAAAGAATAAAAAAATCTATTTGATGCCACTCTTCAGTTCATACAGAAATTCAACATGGGCCTGAGTAAAAAGCATTAAAAAATAACCTTGCTCTTAGGCATACAATCTAAAACAGGTAACAGAAAAAATGGAGCTGAGAAGGAAGGAAAAAAGTAAACTCTAGTTCTTAATGATATATTTCATTGGCCCTCTACCACTGAAATTTTCAAAAATGACTTCAGTGTTATAATCAATATAATCAATGTTTCTTTGAATTGCCAATTGTCCTTCTTCTAGGACAGGTAAGTGGCAGATAAATTTAAACATGTTTTAAAGGAAATAAATCACATACCTGATAATATGATTTAATTTGTCTTATTAAAATAGACAAATTTTGAATTCGAAGTGATCCATCATTGTTGACCTTCTTATTTATTCTTTGACTAACTGCTTTAGGGTTTCTGAAAAAATGAAATAAATAAGTACTGTCAATTTATTTGAATTTCACAAAGGAAAATTTACAGAGCAGCAAACAATAAATCCTAAAACATTTAGGGAACTTAATTTATAATTTACATAATATTGGAACTACACCGCATGCACATTAAGCACTGTTTACAATACAGATGTTAAGTGTTAATGTATTGATCAAGCCTTTTGTTGCTCTGAGTTTCATTTTTTTAAAGAAATTACAGAGGAGAAGCTTAACATGATTTCTACTAAAGCTGAATGCCCAAAATATATGGAACAAAACATAGGCTAAGAGAAGCAATTTAATGATACTTGATGATACTAAGAGCATTTAACTGCCATGTTACATTTGTGCTCTTTCCTGCTGTGAATAAATGTACAATATGTACACAAACATAAGGACAATTTTCCAGAATTAGGGAAACCACACATATACAGTCATGTGAAAATGAAAGTACACCCTCTTTGAGTTCTATAGTTTTATGTAGCAGGACATAGTAAAAATCATCTGGTCCTTAGCCGTTCTTAAAAGTAGATAAATACAACTTCAGGTGAAAACAACACATGGCGTATTACACCATGTCATCAAATGGAGAAGCCATATGTAAAAATTTAAATACATCTTAACTGCATCCATAGGTATGAAGAGGCTAACCAGCAGCCAGGTGCTCCTAATCAAGTGCCCTTGATCAACTGATCACCAACAAGCCAAAGTTTTAGGTGTTCATTGGTCTCCAGCACTGAGGTGTGTATTAACAAATGCCAAAGAGGAAAGACATCAGCAATGATCTTAGGTAAGCAAGTGTTGCTAATCATCAATCTGGGAAGGGTTATAAGGCCATTTCCAAACAATTTAAAGTCCATCATTCTACAGTGAGGATGATTATTCACAAGAGGAAAACATTCAAGATAGTTGCCAATTTTCCCAGGAATGGATGTACCAGCAAATTCACCCCAAGATCAGACTATGTGATGCTCAGAGAAATTGCAAAAAGTTCAAGAATTGCATCTCAGATTCTACAGACCTCAGTTAGCATGTTAAATCTTAATGTTAACGACAGTATAATTAGAGAAATACTGAACAAAGGTTGCCAGAAGAAGACTTCTTCTCTTTAAAAAGAATACGGCAGCACGGTTTAGGTTTGCAAAATTGCATTTGAACAAATCACAAGATGTTTCGAACACTGTCCTTTGGACAAGCAAGACCAAAGTGGAGATGTTTGGCCATAATGCATAGTGCCCCATTTGGCGAAACCAAATACAGCATATCAGCATGAACATCTCATACCAACTGACAAGCATGGTAGTGGAGGGGTGATGATTTGGGCTTCCTTTTGCAGCCATAGGACCTGGGCACCTTGCAGTCATTAAATTGAGCATGAAATCCTCTGTATACCAAAGTATTCTAGAGTCAAATGTGAGGCCATCTGTCTGACAGTTAAAGCTTGGCGGACATTGGGTTATGCAACAGGACAATGATCCCAAGTATACCAGCAAATCTACAATAGAATGGCTGAAAAAGAAAAGAATCAAGGTGTTGCAATGGCCCAATCAAAGTCCAGACCTCAATCCGAGTGAAATGCTGTGCTGGGACCTCAAGGGAGCTGTGCATAAACAAATGCCCACAAACCTCAATGCAATTACTTTAAGTTAATACTGCTAAGTGTGGTTCTACAAGCTATTGAATCGTAAGATGTATTTAGTTTTTCACACACTGCTTTTCTATCTTGGCTTTCTTTTTATAAAATAAATGACAACATGAAATAGTATGTCATGTGTTGTTCATCTAAGGTTGTATTTGCCTACTTTTAAAGAACTGCTAGAGATCAGATGATTTTTACTATAATCATAGAATAAAAGAGGGTGTACTTTCTTTTTCACATATTGTATAATCTAATCTAAAATATTTAAACTGTAATTAGCAAATCATATTGTAATAAAGTAAATAAGATTTGAGGGGAAAAAAATCTGAATGGCTATAGAGACAAAGAGATTTGGCAAGTAGATCAGATTCTTTATTGCAGATATCCTCAATCTTAGTTGAAGATAAATAACAGTTTCTGCAATATTATTTCCTTCTATGTATATGTAAGTGCTGCTCTAGGGGTTAAACCCTAAGCTTCTTTTCTCCTGCCATTTTTGTGCTAGACAGCTGTTTCTCACTATAGTAGTTAGCTATTTACAGCAGGCCCATTTTTACATAATGGTGTTCTGTTCCAAGGATACAAACTCCAACTCTCACATATATCTACGGTTACCATATGTCCTTTTATCATGGGACATATAGTCTTCTAGATTTATTTCTTTTCTTGGTTTTGCTCTTGAATTTTCCTTTGTAAATGAAAGTTATAAACACATTTTTATCCTTGGGAACCTCTCAGATTTGCCTTCTTTTCAGGTTTATCCTTTATTTTTCCCAGGATAATATGGTCATTCTAATATTAGAAAGAATGTGAGAATGACCTATCTATTGGCTCTCTACCACCAGCCCTGCCTGATCCAAATAGGACAACCTGCACACAGTAGTGACTGCTTTCTGTAAGGACTTGCTGCTGTCACTTTTTCTTTCTCCAATCCGACCAGTTCAGCATTTAATACTATCATTCCTTAGCATATAGTAGACAAACTGGGCCTTTTAGGCTTTAATATTCCTTTGTGCAACTGGATTCTTGATTTTCTTATTGACAGGCCCTAGTATGTGCAAGTTGGGACTAATATTTCTAACACCATTTTCTTGAGCACAGATTCTCCTCAGGGGTGCGTTCTAAGTCTGCTGTTGTTCACCCTGTTGAACAAGTGGGCCTTATTCAAGATGACAATGAGGATGCTTACTGCAAGGAGGTAGAAGGTTTGGTGAACTGATGTAAAAAAAAACCCTAGTTTTAAACATTGAGAAAACTAAAGAGATCATTGTCGATTTCAGAAAAGGCAGGCATAGCCACACTCCTCTGTGTATTAATGATTCATCTGTGGAGATGGTTAGCACATCAAATTTCTGGGTGTACAGCTAACGAGTAGACTGGCTTGGTCGCTCAACAGCGAGACACTGGTGAAGCAGGCGCAGTAGTGGTGGCGAACCTATGGCACGGGTACCAGAGGTAGCACTTGGAGCCCTCTCTGTGGGCACGCGCGCCGTCGCCCCAGTCCTAGGCCTTCAGCTGAGTTTTATAAAACCTTTTCGCTTTAGGCCTCCGCCGCCGTGTGCAAAAAAAAAGGATTCAATCAGTCAATTTCAACTTCTCGTGGGAAAAAAAAGATCTTGCAAAGTTGGAATTGATTAATTGAATTTTTTAGTCCCACCCAGTCTGCCATTACCACTGCAGCCACGTCCACCCAATGGGCCACACCCACCCAATGGGCCACACCCACCCGGCACTCGATGATGCATAAGTGGGTTTTGGGTTGCAGTTTGGGCACTCAGTTTCTAAAAGGTTTGCCATCACTGCACTAGAAGACCTCCAAGGTCCCTTCCAACCTTATTATTCTATGTTCTCTCATCTTTAAAGCACTTTATGGCATGAAATTGAGTTATTTGAGGGACCCAGGAGATGGGACTTCTCTAACTGCTTTATGAAACATCTGATGCATCTCGCTGCAGTGTCCAACAATAATCAGCCATCCACTGATGGAATCTAGTTGCCCTAATACAGTTTTTCCATTGTGGCAATGTCTTGGTGAAACCTTTCACCATGTTCATCACTGATTGCACACAGATTTTGGGGAAAGAAGTCCAAGCATGAATGCAGAAAATGTATCTTCAGTGACATGTTGTACTTCATGATCTTATATGCTGTAAGATGTTGTCAACCAACTGAATGTAGTTTGGTGCTCTGTAGTTGCCAAGAAAATTTTAAATGACATCCTTGAATGCCTTCCAGGCAATTTCCTCTGGCTCCACTAACAGATCTTAGAATTGCGTGTCACTGATGGCGCATCTGATCCTTGGACCAACAAAAATCCCTTCCTTAACCTTGAAATTAATTATTCTTGAAAAAACTTTCTCAAATAACGAAAACTTCATCTTCCTCGTTCATTGCTTTCACAAATTTTTTCATCAATCTGAGTTTTATGTAAAGCAGAGGCAAAAATATCTTTGTCAGGTCAACAAATGCCACATTTTTCTATGTTGGAACCAAATTATTTTGGAGTGGCCACTTCTTTTTAATGTTGATATTGATGTTAATATTGATGTTAATAGTCTCTTGCACATCTGTTCTATTTGCATATGTAACAACAGTATTTATATATCCAAGCTGCATTCCAAGCAGAAGAGCCACTACTTTTAGATCTCTAGATATTCCAGTTGTACTTGGTGTACTGAATGTGCATTAAGCACAGTACCGTGTTTTCATATGTTTCTTTCATGTATGCAGCATAGCCAACAAGTAGAGAAATTTTGAAATTGCAAAAATAGAAGATTTCTATAAAATTGTACACGGTAGATTAAATTACAAATTATTTTCATGATTAGCATCCCAAAATCTATGATATACACCCCAAAGTGTTCAGGAAGCAAAATCTTCGTTGTTCAGTGTATTTGACTAATTAGTCTGATATAGTTTTCTATATTGTTAAAGTTAATTCAATAGTAAATTTAGTAGGAAATTAAATAAATTAGAATTCCCAGATTCTTTTCAAGAACAAAAGCTGCAAGGAGTAGGTTTTTCCCATCCTGTAAATGGTGGCTCTGATTTATAGCAATACCAGCTAGCCACAACAAATGCGACCAGAGTTCCAGCTAGGAGGAAGAGAACTGGTAAATTTGCTAAATTATCTTCAGCCTGCAACATGGTAGGTCTCTTACTTATGTTAATGATAAGCTTTGCTTTGTGTAATGAGCATGATCATATTCCTTCTCAGTTATCTAGAGATGAGCAGCCACTACTTTCCCAAGTAAAATATATCCAGGATGGGACTGTTCTTTAAATTAACTAAGTCCATAGACAATTCCTTAAGTAATGAGTTTTTCATTTCAAGTTCTTTGGTATAC